CCTGTCATTGCCTAAGCTTGGCAAGAGTACCCAATCCTTGTTAACAAAGTCTAGTTTGTAGACATCAAACATAATGGTACCCCTTGGATAGGTATGATTAAAAAGAATATCAGGATGGTAGTCTCCATTTTTATCAAAATATTGCCCATAGTACCTAACAACCATCAGCAACTCCCCCAAAGACTCCACTAGATAATGAATCGGACAGGGACTGCGATCAGTTCTCTTATGAGGCACATGGGACACTATGAGATCCTTCTTTGGAGAGGCAGGGTCGTTAAGATCCCAAGCTTCTATATATGTACCAGACAAGGTATAAAATTTTTGGTCCTTGCTGAAATACATGACATCACTGTATGTTGACCTTTGTCCATCCAAGGTAGTCCACGCGGTGTCCCCAATTCTGCAGAAGGCGAGTTTGTATTCACAGTAGCCATGGATGGCCATCACAGTACAGTCAGAAGAATAATACTTCTCTTGGTTATCAACGCGTTGATATTGCAGATGATGATCGGAAGGGAACGGGGACGGGGCTGAGGATAAAACAATCTTCTTAAAGAAATGTGAATGACTCAGCTCTTGAGAAGACATGGGCAAGACATGTTTCCAATTGGTAAACTCAGTAACAATCTTATTCTTATTATTATTATAAGAAGAAGATGAGTTTTGAATATTGGAATTACGGTGGTAGCGTAAGGTTGAGATGAAAAAGGGGAGGGTTTGGATAGGAGGGAGAGGAAGGTAAGGGAGATAAGAGTGGATGAAAGGGTTGAAAAGGTAGAGAGAGCAATTTCGTGGGTGGATAAAGGCGAGCCAACCACGAGAGGAGCCGAAGCAGATGGCCTCGTATGGAGGAAGCAATTCCCTTTGCCATGGAAGCATAAGATTCGGCTTCATCTTCACCACTTTCTCCTCCCCAAGGCTAAAGAATCGATAGCAATCCTCCTCCTTCTCCTTCATTTTTACAAGTTTCAACCTTTCTCCGACGTCTTCGTCGGGTTGCGCAACCAAGCAAGTGCCGGCAGGCAGCATAAGGCACGGTGCTGATCGGAGAGGGAGGGGTCCTCTTATTGCCTCCTCTTCCTCAACTACTACTACGTCTGCTGTTGCTGTTGACGAAAAGGTCGCACCTTCATTCAAGACTCTGACTGATCCACCTCCAAGACTACGAAAATAATCTGATGATGATAATCGGACCGGAGAGAGCAAACCACCACCGCCACTTGTGAAGTGGTGAAATCTGCCCGCATTGGAACAAATACACCATGTGTTTAGCATAGAGCGCCGGCAATTCAGCATCCGATGACCAAAACTCCTCCAATTAGTCATCTCTATCTCTCTCTCTCTCTTTCTTTCTCTTTCTGCGGCAGCTAAAACCCTAATTTATTTTTTATTTTTGAGAATTACATTCCTAATTTATTCTTTCCTTTACTAGTCATTTTTTTATTTTTTATTTTATTTTATTTATTTTTATGATACATTACTTCTTCTTCTTCTTCTTCTTCTTTCTTTTTTTTTTTTTATTTTTTATTTTTACCTATAATAATTTGACTTTACATTATTGAACGCCATTCACGCACAGATGTCTTGCTATTCCCTGATTGACCTTGGTTGTGTAAATATTTTAGACCTTTATTTATTTATTTTTATTTTAGTGTGAGAAATAGGGTGATAGTATAAGTTAGGGTTTTTACATCACAGGAATAGACTGCTTCGGCAGAAAGAGAGAGAGAGAGAGAAATGGCTATTTGGAGGAGTTTTGGCGGTCTGATGCTGAATTTCCACCGATCTATGCGACAAACATGGTGCAATTGTTCCGACCTGGCGAGCTTTCAGTATTCCAGTGCCGCTCGTGGTGGTGGTGGTGGTTTGTTCCTTGGAAGCGGATGCTTCCAAAAAGCTGCGCACTTTTCACCGATCCAAGGTTCCTGTTGGTGGTGTTCTCCTTCTCCTCCAACCCCTCCACCTGTAAGTCCACCATCACTATCTTCGTCACCATTGCTCATGTTACCTCCCGGAATTAGTGTTGTTGATCACAAAAGTTCAGAAAAGTACTCGGACGACAATGACAAGGACTATTTTCATTTCTTTAGCCTTTCGGAACAGCGTCAATTTAGGGTTGCGAAGAATATTATGATTCCGTGGCAGAGGGACCTCCTTACGCCTGATGCAGCCCGATGTGTGGGCTCTTGTCATGGCTGGCTGGCCTTTAACCACCCTCACAATTGCCACCCTTATCTCTACAACCCCTTAATAGACACTCCTGATTTCCCCTACATTCCCCTCCCTTCCTTTGAAACTCTCCCCACCACTGCTGCCACTCGCATCCTCAAATCCGATCACCTCTCCGATTCCCCGTCTCTCATCGAACAGTGGATACTCTCTCTGTATAATCGGAAACACCAGGAAAATGTTTCCCCCAAGAAAATGACTGGAATTTACCTACGAAGGCTTGCTATGTCATCACCCCCATCGGTCCCTTCTTATTTCTCATCATCATGCGGAAATGACTGCCTTATAATGGCCATCCACAGCCCAAATGCATATATTGCCTTCTGCAAACTTGGGGACGATAGCTGGACCACCTTGGACGGTTCGTACGGACCTTATGTTGACTTGATGTATTTTAGCAAGGACCAGCGATTTTATGCCTTGACATCAAATAGAAGCCTTGTAGCTTGGGACCTCAGAGATCCTTCTCATCACAAAAGGCAAGTGTTTGATAAGCTTGAGGGAAAACTTAGGCAATCTTATAATTGTGGTAAGAGTGGTTATTTAGTTGAATCTTCGGGTGATCTTTTGCTGGTTTCCAGGTATATAGTTATTAGTGATCAGAATGCTGCTTATGCTTATAACACTGTGGGATTTGATGTTCATAGGTTTGAATTCGATAACAATAAGTGGGAACCTGTTGAATGCTTAGGTGACCGGGCATTGTTTGTGGGTTCTAATACTTCATTTTCCCTCTCAACTCGCGATTATCTAGAGCTGATGGGAAATTCTATCTACTTCACTGACGATGTTTACTCTTCAAGTTGTGGCAAAAAATACTCGGGCCATGATAATGGCATCTTTCACCTAAAGGATCACTCCATAAAACCTTATTATCCAAGCAGCTTGAAAATCAACCCACCTCCAGTTTGGGTTGCCCCCAACACCATGGAGTAGTTCTAAAATATCAGCTATATATTTATTTCATTTTGGCTTTACTAATTAGGTGTCCCTCTCCTCCTTCCATTTAGGTAAGTAAATTTGTATTGCTTTTCTTCATTATTGTTGGTGGGAACAAGTTGTGATGTTTATAACACTTGATTATATATGCAAGTCTTGGTCGCATCTATTTAATTGGTTATAAATTTGTTATCAATTTATTGTTATTGTCTTGTTTGGGTGTATTGAGATGAAACTCAATACGCAACTACATATTGGGCAAATAGTGGAATGTAGTAGCTATTTGATAACATTATTCAAATCACTAATTTCAAATTCTTATATATTTTTACTTTTAGACATTTTTGTTAGTTAACAAGCAGTCCACTAAAACAATAATAAAGTTTTAAGAGGTGTCTTTTTTAAGATTGGGTAATTTACATAGACCTACCCTATAATTTGCCAAGCACCCTTCCTGTTTCGGAAATTACGCGGAACTTCCCTACTTTTGAAAATATCCTACACGGACCTCCCTTATGTGTGACGAACCGTTAAATACACTAACGGAGCTGTCAAAATTACTGAAATATCCTCTCCTTGGCATCTGAAATTACGAAACTACCCTCTCCATGACATCAGCCTCTCAGTTATACAACTATACATTCGTTTGGAGGGAAAACTGCCATTAATGTGTCTGTTTCCCAAAGCAGCGTCTTTTCATCTGCCTTACCAAACTGGTGTCGTGTATTGTGAACACTTTGAGAGAGAAGGAGAAAGAGAGAGAACAAACGAATGTTTGGTTAGGGTTTGTGCATATGAAGGATTAACCAAAGATCGCATCAACAGAGAAATTCGCTTCCCATATTTGGCAACAAATCCAAGTTCGTATTTGCAAAGAATGAGTTAAGGTTTACGCATATGTGAATCTGAAGTGGTCTGAGGTATGTGAAAAGAATTTTCTAGTCAGTATTTAGGGTTTCTGTTTTTTATTACTCTCTATTTAGTTTAAGTTATGTTAAAATTTATACGCTGTTTTTAGGGTGTATGTTTTTTTGAATAATTCTATATTTAGTTTAGGGTTTATGTTTTTAATTACTCTATATAGTTGTTTAGGGTTTTGTTTTCTGTTTATTGTTAACTCTATATAGGCAAATAGGGCTTTTATAATTGAAATTATGTGTAATTTGGGAGTAGTTGTTCCATCGTATTGTTTGTGGTAAATTTAGTTAATTTGTGTTTATAATTTATATTTTTGTTATAATTTTAATTGTTACAGCGATGGAATCAATTCATGATATTGATGTTCACTACAAGTGGAACCTAACTTTTATAACTGGTGTGGATCCAGATTGTCATAACATCATTGATCTTGTTAAAGATGTAACAATAGTAGCTTTATCTCATATTCCACCTACTGTCCCTTTGTCACTGTTTTTGTCTTGTGTTGTTCCTAGGTCTTCTGCTAGAATGCATGTGGATAATGATAAAGATGTGCTAGAGATGTTTAAAGTAAATGCTAGCAAGAGATTGATAAACTTGTATATTGACAAGGTTGTGACAAATGCAAGTCCTGAATTTGCCTCAATTGAGACCATGGAGTTTGATGATAGGGAGTTTGATGATAGGGAGTTTGATGATAAGACATTTGATGATAGTAATGTCAATGACAATGATGACAGTAATGTTAGAGACAATGAGACCAATGTAAATGAGAACAATGGAGGACAGCCTGAGGATGAGTATGATTTAGAAGATGATAATGATGTATTTGGGTTTAATTCTGAAGATGAGGAATGGAAAATAGTGGGAAGGGTAAGAATCCAGTTCACAATGATGATGTGAATAGGAATATGGAGGAAGAAAAGAACCACAATGAGGATGGTATGTCAGACTATGAATCAGGAGATGAACATGGTACTGAATTTGATAATGACATGTATGTGGAAGAAGAAGAGTGTGAGATAAATGTTGAACAGTAGAAAACTGAAACAGCAAAGGGTAAGTCCTATGCAAGCTGTTTAAAGGGAATTCCATTTGAGAGAGGTTTGGATGGAAAGATTAAGTTAGAAGAAGGTCATCTATTTGTCAATGTGAACCATTTTAGGGATATTTTGGTTTAGTTTTGTGTCCAAGAGGGATGTAATATAAAAAGAGTTAAAAATGAGAAGCAAATAGTGACAATAAGATGTGCAGTTGAGGGGTGTCCATGGAGGGTACATGCTTCCCGTTTGGTAGATAAAGTAACTTATCAACTCAAGACAATTAGAGGTCCACAAAATTGTGTGAGGAGTGGCACTGTGAGGGATGCAACATCCACATGGATTGCTAAAAAGCTTGGGCAGACTATAAAAGACAATCCAGGGGTTCCACTTGATGCATTGCATGCAATAGTGATGAGCCAATTCAAAGTTGATGCAAGACTCATGCAACTATACAAAGCTAAAAGGAAAGTTATGGATGAGTTAGAGGGAAACCATGGGAAAGCATACACTTTGCTTCCCAAGTATGCTAATGAAATTTTCAAATCTAATCTTGGTAGTATCATGAAGCTTGAGAGGGACTTGCCTACTATGACATTTCAAAGAATTTTTATGTCTTTATAAGCTATGCAATCTGGATTCAAGAATGGTTGGAGGGGGTTCATTGGATTGGATGTCACCTAAAGACCCCTTATGGTGGTGTGCTCTTGTCTGCTATAGCCCTTGATGGGAATAATGGCCTTTTTCCACTGGTTGTGGCTGTGGTGGAGAATGAAGGGAAAGAAAGCTGGAAATTCTTCCTTCAAAAATTGCAAACTTTTGTTGAACTTGGTCAAGATAGACATCTATGCTTCATGTCAGATCAGCAAAAGGTAAAAACTTAATTTATTACATGTAATTTCTATATCTAATAAATTACATGAAATTTCTATATCTAATTTTTGTTTTTTACTTATGCTTAGGGTCTTGAACAAGCAATGAGGATTGTTTTCCCACATGTAACCCATAAGCCATGTTGCAGACATCTATATAACAACTTCAAAAAGAAGTATCCAGGATTGTTTTTGCAGTCTTATTTCTGGAAGGCAGCTAGAGCCTATAATGATTACACATTTAATGAGGCAAATGAGAGAAATGTCAAGAGAGGCTTATAATTTGATCTTAAGAATAGATGTGTGCAAGTGGTCAAGGTATGCATTTTCTGACCAGGTGAAGAGTGATCGTGTCATTAATAATTTTAGTGAGTCTTTCAACAATTGGGTTGAGAAGCTTAGGTCTAAACATATTTTAGGGCTGCTTAATGGTATTAGGAGCAAATTGATGAGTAGACTCCTAATAAGGGCTGAAAAGGCCTGTGCTTGGGTAGGATTGGTGACCCCAAACATTAGGAAAAAATTAAACAAGTTGATTACTGAGTTTAGATCATGTGATGTTACCCCAATAGGGCAAGATGAGTATGAAGTCATAAATGAGGAAGGAAAACATATAGTAAAGCTTAGATCAAGGTCATGTGCTTGTAGAGGATGGCAGATTTCTGGCCTCCCATGCAAATATGCAACTGCAGCCATAACACACAAAAGAACAGATATTGAACAGTTCTGCGATCCATGTTTCTATAATGAAACATACATAAGAACTCATTCTAGTATGATTCGCCCAGTACCTGATCAAAAAATGTTGACTTTTGTGCATTGTAACCTTGTGGAACCTCCAATTCTAAGGAAAAAGCCTGGCAGACCAAAAAAAGCCAGGACAAGAGATGCAGATGAGCCTACAGCTGCAACTAGTGATGCTAGAAAGAGCAAATCCCTATAATGCTCACAGTGTGAAGAATTTGGGTACAACATGAGAACATGCAAAGTAAGTCAACCCAACCAGGTAAATCACTTATAAATTTTTTAATATTAAGTCATGAGTTAATGCCCTTTAACTTGTGGCATTATTTGACACTATATAAGAACTTTCTACATCAATAACCAGTTAAGTTGGAAGTGAAACTTCAAGTTTTACCAGTTTAATAGAAGAGTTATAACTTTTTTTTTTTTTTTTTTAAGAAGAGGTTTAACTTTATTTCTATTTTTGTTAAATAGACTAAGTTTATTTTAATTATAATCACAGATGATGAGGCCTACATCAGCTACTCAATTTGGGTGTCAAAGCTCAACTTTTCCACAACAAGTATAACTTAAACAACTTCTCCACAACAATTATAACTTAACATATATACCTAATGTCTTTCTTAACTGACAAACTAACGTTGGTTTCCTTTTAATCACAAACAATGAGGAATGCAGGTAGAAAAGCCACTACAAGCACCAACCAAGTTGGAAGAAGGTGTGCAACCTCAAATCAATCAAGAAACACCAACCAAGTTGGAAGATGGTATGCAAGTTCAAGCTCAAATCAAGTAGGAAAAGGCATTGCAAGCACCAACCAACCTGGACTAGGCTCTGCAACATCAAATCAACTAAGATGACCCAATGCAGTTAAATTTTAAGTTCGAAGAGGAACTAGAAAAAGCAGCCAATCTAGAAGGGACACTTGAAGATGGAGAAAAAGGCAGTTGAAGATGCAACCATTTATAACTATATAAATATATATATATTTTTGTGGACAATTTATGAAACTTTTGTTATTTAACTACTTTGTGGGTAACTCAGTTGTCCAAAAAGAATAGACAGGTATATGGTACGTGGACTTTTTGGAGTTGGGATTAACTTTTGGTATAGCTCTTGGTATACCTTTTGGACAACTGACTTTTGGTATAGCTTTTGGACAACTCAATGTAATACTCTGAATTTTATTGCTAAATGATATGGTATTTTTTTTGGCTAACTTTGTTTGTATGGTATGTTTTGTGGACAATTGATTGTTTGTATAGGTTGTTCATATTTATGGGTTGTTTGTCATATAGGTCTGAATTATTTGTCAATGCAGTTTGTCAATGTAGTTTGTCAACGCAGTTTGTCAATGCAAGTCATATAGTAGTGAAGACCATGCTATTACCATCATTCATTAAGAACTGAAGATCATTCATTACAAAAAATAATTACTGAAGGCATACCACCTTTAATATACAACTGAGAAAAATAATACAACTGAGAAAAATGCAAGAAATGGACTTGCATTGATAAACAACTTCATGAATCCAAGGGGTTTTTCAAACATTACAAATTGAGACCTTATCTCACCAATTTCACACATTGTCTCACCAATTTCAGACCTTAGTACACCAATTTCAGACCTTATCTCACAAATTTCAAACCTTAGCTTACCAATCTCAGAACTTATCTCAACAACATGTGTCATAATCTCAGCATACATCTTCTTGGTTACATGTTGTAGCAGAGTCCACATCGTCTGTAATGCAACTTATTGGATTGCACCATTCCCAAACACCACAACTTCTAGTTGGATAAACATAATATAACTTCCCCTTATTGTTATAATCATTAGAACATGTGACCTTAATTACACATTTTGTTTTTTATTTACATTTGCAATACAGATCCATGTACCTTAAATCACCCAAGCTTGAAGCTTTTCCCTTTGAACTTGTAGACATGTTTTCAAAAACAAAAATCCAGATATTTGAAGAACAAATCGTAACCCACAAGACCTTTGCTATTCTCCAAATATTTGAAGAACAAATCGTAACCCACAAAAATGAAATTTTCAAATTTTTGAAGAACAAATTGAAAATCCAAATATTTGTTTTGAAGATAACAAATCGTAACTCAGAATTCAGTCTTTAATTTGTAGATGAACAAAACTTACCCAAATGGAGCCTTAAGTTGCAGACAAAAGAACAATCTTCTTCTTCATCGTTTTCTTCAAATTACAGAACAATCTTCTTCTTCTTCTTCCTCTCCAAAGCTCCTAACACTTGATTTGCACAACACAACCAATATGGAGCAGTTTCTCACAACAACAGCAGCAGCTTCATCTTCTTCTTCTCTTTAGCCCTAAAGAACCGTTCTGTCGCACGACGGTTGTATATGTGTCTTTTATATATATATATATATATATAATATGAAATAATATAGGCAAGGGTATTTTTGGCATTTCTTGAAAATAGTAGCTGATGTCATCATTTTCCGTCGTTGACTGCCGTTGACTCTAACAGAAGGGAGATCCGTGTATGATATTTTCAAAAGTAGGGGAGGTCCGCGTAATTTCCGAAACCGGAAGGGTGCTACCTATAATTATGGCAAATCATAGGAGAGGTTCGTGTAAATTACCCTTTAAAATTCTAAAATTACCCCCAATTTGTTTTCTACCAAACTGCCTTACTTACAATCAGAAGTTCAGAACTCTACCTCTATTTTCTCCCCCTATTTTGCCTCTGCCCTCTCATGGGGCTTGTATGTTTTTTATTTAAATTAACAGGTTGGTGCTTTATTGGTATATGTTCTTAACTTCATATATCAATATCACCATTTATATAAATTATATAAAAAAAACTTAATAATTATATAATATATACATATAAATCTTGTGAATGGGATCACTATGGTGATGGTAATGTTATATATATATGGTCTCGTAGGAATTCATGGAGTTGCACAAAGTAGCTACGTACAGTCTGCAAGGCTAAAACCTAAACTCAGTTCGATTGTTAGAAAAAGCTGATCGTTGTATGGAATCAATGGATTTAGAGCTTCTTCCTCCAAATTAATCACCGATTGCACATTCTTATTCAATGCGGACCAAATTGAAGCTGGTCTGGTCTTTGGAGGCATCAAAAGCTTCAGGTACTTGATAATATCTTGCATGCATTATCGGAGATAATATCTAGTTGAAGAACTTTTTTAAGATTTGGTTTTGCATTGTAATGCCTGAAGATTTAATTGAAGAACTTTTTCCAAGATCACAAGAGTTCTTCACTTGTCATAGGAAACAAAGGTACTGACGTTTTTATTTAGAAAAGCTACTCCATTGAAGGCTTGGAAGCCTCAATAAAGAGTTCTCCATGTTTTCCTCTCAACCCAATCGGATTTTCTATCCATTAACAATGTGATCAGGGTAGTTCTGGACTACCTGACACGTCTAAAAGGTAGAATCAATCTTTAATATTTTTCTTAAAAGGGATGTCAACCTTACTGGTTACTAGTATAATGTTTATTGTACTTCTCAGACTTGTTAATATTTTTTTCCACTTAACTGCATTGAACATAGTATATACTTCAAAAGACACATTACTTCAAGAATTTGAACTAAAATTTAACCCGACACATGTATAATTTCAATGCTTATCATTACAAGCCATTTCTAGTGCGAACTAACAAGTGTTTATCGGTAACTTATTGACACATAAATTTCAAGTGGTGCCAGAACATCAACTGGAGATGATATAAGAAATGGGTATTTTCCATCACTTTTGCAACAATAAATCTATAATATTATTAGAAGGCTGCAACTCGGTCGGGTTGAGCGAATTTGAGGTATAACTTGAGCCTAACCCACCATAGGAAATGTTAAACCCAAACCCAATCCAACCCTATCTTCAACCCTAACTACTTAACTCGAGCTCAATCCATCCTTCTACTTTTAAATTCGAGCTTGCAACTCAGGTTTATATTCCATATATTCCATTTTAAAAATTGGAGTGAATTCTAGTTACTCATATAGCTAATCTTCACACCAAAATTTTAATATGATCTTGAATTAGTTTTAAATTATATTACTCTTAAACAAAAAAAAAAAGTTTAAAGACATTTTATAAATTTTGAATAAATTACAAACAAATTCTTAGAAAATGAATTGTCTTAAATGTTAATATACAATAAGTTAAGATTTAACAAACGAAGTTGAAAAGAAAAAAGGTAATCGTAGTTTAAATATTATATATAATGTATTTAAAATAAAAATATTTATTAAAATAATATTAGAATTCGGGTTCGGGTTTGCTCGGGTTGCTAGTACCTCAACCCAAGTCCAACCCTAATTAAATTTGGATTGAGATTTTTCAACCCAGACTCATCCATATTTGTAAAACTAATTATCCAAGCCTACGAAAAATCGGGCGGGTTCAGGTTGGGTTCGAGTTGCCCAACCCAAGTGCACCCCTAAGTACAAGGTGATTCATATTTTTCAAGGCCATAATTATGAGCACCCCCCAACTAGTAACATAATTTTACAATCAAATATAAAAAAATTTTAAGGTAAATATTAAGTATACATTTTTTTTTTTCTCTATAAGTAAATTCCACAATCAAATTTCAAAAAGAAACATAATTTCGAACAGGAAAAACCAAAAAGATGTGAATTGACTATTAAATTTTGATAAACTAGCTAGTGTGAGTGTATCTCCTTTTTCTCATGTTCTTCTTCTTTTCTTGCTTAGTTATAAACCCTAGAATACCAAAATCCCAAAAAAAAATTGTGGATATGGTAGACCAACCAGTCTGGTGCTGCATCATTTTGGTGGGTACATAAAATTTGAAGAGCCAGATCCATCTCCAATTTTAAGTTTGACAAGAGGTTACATTGCTTCTCTAAGGCTGAGTAGCTTTCTCCAACTCCAAGAGCATTGCCCAGGGACCTTTACTTTCCAAATGCTTATGCCCTTAAGTAGGTATGTATTGATCCATTTGACCCACAACATATCTTTTGAGGTGATAACGTGCCAGCCCTTTTAAGAAGACAACATTTTTCCCAAGCCACTTTAGCACCTGTCTTAGGATTGGACCAAACCATAGAAAGGCCCCAAAAATCCTTTCAAGTTCATGGATGATGCTCATAGGTAGGATGAACTTAGAGCTCCAGTACATTAAGGGGAATAGAGAACAAAAATAAAAAAATAAAAAATAATA